TTAGTTATATGTATAACTGAGTTAATTATATTGAAATAATTTGAATTGTACAAATATGACTTTGTTTTGATTAATTGATGGCCTTGCCACCATGTAAAATAAAACCAATAAAAATTTTTGTTGAAAAAAAAAAAAAAAAGAAAGCTTCCAAGATCTTTCCCAGGTCTTCCGAGAATGGATATGTTATTTGAAGAATAATGGCAGCTTTCTAAAGCTTTCTGAAACATCTGTCAAAAATAGGCAAAACAAATAAGTAACTTCTCTAATTGTATCTCCAATACAATTATCAGCAAAAAGTCCAGAGTTCTAAATAAATTAATTAACATTTGTAAAAGTCAACATTCCACATCTAAACCTTTAGCTGTAACAAAATCCCATTTAAAAGGAATAAAATGGTCCTGATATCCTAATGTAAACAAAATAAAAGAAAGCCAAAGTATGATGAAAAAAGACCATTTCTCATTTACAAAAGACAAGCTCCAATTATTCACTGTAATCTCATGCCTCTTCTTCTAGTTTATCACCACAAGAGCCTTCAACATGTAGCTGAGGATTTATGATTGTACTCATGAACCAACCTAATTTTACTATTTTATTGCCAATTCAGTTCATCTTTTCAGAGTTGTTTCATTCTGGTGATCTGCTTTCAGTTTTTACTGTTCTTTAACAAAACTGATATAATCTACAACTGAACTCTTCATCCCAGACTTCCAACAGGAGATCATTTAAGGACAAGTGACATAGCTTTTGTCCCAGTACAAATACGTAAAGAGTCTCTCTTTTAACTTCTCACTGTTATGAAATTAATATTGAGAGGGCATACTTTTTTATGACCTGAACGTGAGATTTATTTTTGGAAATGCTTCTGTCAAAAGATTTATTAGAAAAGACTATAATGTCTCCCAAGGGAGCTTGTTCTGTTTTCGTGGTGACACATTCAACCAGCCATGGCTGGCAGGGACCAGATGCATTAGGGAAATGAAACTTCAGTTGGCCCGAGGGCTGCACCAGACTTTATCTGTCATGATGGGCAAGCTTCCCCAAAGTGGATAGGGATGGGGGCCAAACTTTTAAGAAATAAAATTAATGCATTAAATATGTACAAAGCTTAAGGCATTTATTTTATCCTAGAGAGCTGTTGGAGGGCCAGCCGAACCGAATCCGACCGAGCACGGGGTAGGATACATGTTAGATCCTACCTAGTGGCGATGAGGGTGGCTAGGGCTAACTACTATTCCTCGCTCATCGCGTCATCAGATAATCGCCCGGCC